CCGGATGATTTTGGGCGAGCTCCCCGCGCCGGCAGGCTGCAGAGCTCCGGCTCCGCTGCTCTCAGGAGTGCCGCCGTGTAACAGCTCCGAAAGGCACTCCCTCTGCCCGAAAGGGTGTCTCACAGCCTGCAAAACCACGCCGCTACCCAAAGCCAGCCTCTGCCTGCCCCGAACGAGGCCCTTCCTGGCTATTCGGTCAAATTTGGGTGTGATGTTGTCCAGCTGATTCTCCTTTGTGCAGGGAGCTTTACACCAAATGCGTTTCTCATGTCAGGCAACTTAGCGGTCGCTATGTCGGCCAGGAAAGCAGCTGTTTTTCAGATGATGGAGAGCTAGTGATCGGTATGGTTGTGTTAGTTGGCTTTGTCTCTACATCTATGCTGAACACTCCAAGGTTTTCTCTCAAATGCCAGCTTCGCTGCAGTCTCCCTTGGCTTTGTCAGTCGATGTTAGCACGGCTGCAACTGTATCTACCTCGAGCTAAATACTACCTCAAACTACATACCTCGAGCTAACTAATATCCCAAGCTGAATGTTTGGGAGTCAGCCAGGAAGCATCGTGAACCATGGAGATTTCCAACATAGTTGCAGCGAACTTGGTCAAATGCTCCTTGTACCCATCAGCACTGGAAAGTAGCATGGAAATAAATCTGCGGCTTTGAGAGGCTGTAAACCCTTTGTATTGGTGAGGTACAGGGAAAAGGTTGAGAAGCTGCAATACACAGAGCCTAAGATTAATTTGGTCATATTTCATGTCCCAAAACCAGCTGGAAGATAAAGGTTCCCCTTCTAGCTTACCTATGTAGCTAGGCTAATACGTAACTGAATATGGACTTTGTTCAGGGTACCTACAATGATCTCTTTAAATGTTTAGTAAATGCGTCTTGCTCTGAGGTTAATCGTGAGTAGACATCCCCCCTCTGAGAGAAAGGTAGGACAAGATCTCACTGAGGAATCTGCATCTGAGAAGATTTATATAGAGATGTATATAGTGTCTTTACATAGAGAAGATATGTCAGACTGAAACTCACTAAACCTTTGCAACTTACTCGGTATCCTAAGAGGCATTCCTCCTACCATCTTCAAAGATATAAAGATGTGCTCATTATTGGTGTCCTTCAAAAAAGTGTAGTTTCTCATTAAGAAAATACTAGGAGGTGATTTAGGTACAATGGTATGGAAAATCACATCTTTTCACTTTCGAACGAGAACTCTGAAACAAAAGAAAATACAATCTTTTACTCTGTCATCAATCAAATGGATAATGTCACATTTGTTGCAAGGACAGGCATGTAAAATTGCCACCTGTTGCAGTTTTAATTCAGGAAGCTTAGACATTAAGCCTTTCGAAATGGCTTCTACCTCATCTTCCTAGAGAGAAACATTTGTGAGCTCGTGAAATTCTAATTGGAGCAGCTCATTTTCTGTCTGTATAAACGGACAGCTTTGGTGGGCTTGTTTACTGAAGGCTCAGAGAGACTTTTAGTCAAAGAATGCTTATTGGAGCCATTTGTGCAAGTAAGGGACATGATTTGTATTATCCAGAAAAAGGTGCAAGTCAGTCCTTTCTCTAGGATTTTCATTCATTGTTCTACCTGAGAATTTACACAATCTTCTCTGTCATGCCTACAGCATCTTTATCTTTTAGCCTTCCAGTGAGCTGGTCCTGTTGCACCCAGGGAGCAGCTCTTTGTCAGCTTCTGCACATTGTGGCTTCTAGGCGCCGACTTAGGTGTAAGCAACAAGTGCTAGGATCAACAGCGTAGGTGCTTGGAGTCAGCCCCGGGCACTGGGTCATGTCACAGTGTCTCACTGGCTTGGTGGTGGGGGTGGTGGTGGTCTTTTCCTGTTGCTTTCATCTTCAAAGGCAGAGCAAAAAGGAAATGTAGTAGCTTTATCTGCATTAAGAGAGAATCACAATACGATTATTTATGCATCCCTTAGGACCTGCCTTCACATTTATCCTTTTCTTCTGATGCTGGCTCAGAAATGCGTTATCATCTAACTTGCTTAACATCACTTCCTCTAGGAAGTAAATAATTCTGTCATGGAAAAGCCATTATCACTAAGAAAAGGCCACAGTTTTAAGCAAGAGCAGTGTTACCTAGTGCATTCACAGCTGCATTGCAGTGATTTGTTTCTATTTCCTAAACTTCTGACATGTTTAGAAAGCCAACAGCCACCTGAAGTAGCAAAGGTGAGAGCATAACAAGATCAGCCTGTACCATTCATGAAAAACTTCACGATATCTGCGAGCCCAGGTGCAGTACCTTCACCCACAGTACCACAGCATGCCACTAGTGAAAGCATCTTCACAATATCTTCTGAAAATAAATGATATTATAGCCGTTGTTCAGGTGGAGAATTGAGGTACAATGTTTTTAAGGATGGTTTTTCATAAAAGTCGTCCTACATCTCTACACTTTAAAAAATCCTGGCTAAAATTGTTTACCTCTGAGTAGGAAAGAAGACTGCAAAACAGCAGGGAATCCGATACAGCCCTCCTTACTCTATGCTTCAATCACGTCACACTCGCTCAGGAACATATCTGCATGCAGCAGTACTCGTCAGCAAGTTGACATTTGTTTCATCAGAACGGTAAGGTTTGAGAAATCAGAGAAGGAAAGGTGAGAGGGAAACTGGGGAATTGAAACAAACTGACCAAAGCAAATGACAGATTTCAGCAGCATCATTAATGGCTGGGGCTAAAAAGTATGAGTAAAGTCATTATCTGTGATTTTAGTTGCAGAAGGAAAGCTGTGCATCTGTTTGTAGTGTTCTGATTTTGTCCTTAAAGGTAGAAGTGACCTGAGCGTCACCTGGAGATTGCTAGGTGAAGTGCAGGCTGAATAAATACTAAATCTGGCTTCTCTCAGACTGTCCTTTTAGAATGAACCAACAATACAGCACATGTAACATAACGACTTAAGTAAAAAGCAAGTGACGTAGCAGGGAAAGTGATGTCATTAAAGAACGCAGCTGATGCTTCAGCTTGGAAAGATGCCTGCCAGGCAGCTTCCTATCACTGCTGTATCTGTAAAAATGTAATATCAAAAAGTAGTATAATCCAATCCCAGGGGATATAAACCAGCAATCTTCATGCTAAACGGCTTCTCCATTACGGTAATACAACTGCCCATGTAAAGTAGACAAGTGCATGCATCACACGTGCTTGCAACTGAAGAGAAATGCAGTGGGATGAAATGAGACCGAAAGTGGGAGGTTTTAGCCTACAAAGTAATTGCGGAGACGCTTTTGTCTGAAACTGGTACCCAGTCACAGGCTCACAGCTGGGCACCTGGTGACAACAGTTTACTTCAAAAGCTTATCAGAATAAATGAAACATAGTGGCCCTGTTTCATAGCTAACCAATAAGGTACTTTTAATCCAAAAGAGGGGTTTGTAAATTTGTCACCTAAGTGAAAGGTCGAAACAGAGGGACTGGTACTAATAAACGTGCTATAGCTATGGGACACTGTCTGTTGCCGTTCAGATGCAGTATTTGCTTCTGCTAAAGACACAAAAGGCATAATCATGCTCATTTTGCTTATGAAAACACCTTACCTGAAATCATAGACACTTTCTTTGAGAATGGAAAGCAGGAATAAGCGGAGTCTGGAAAATGGCTCAGAGCCATGGTTTTACCCAGAGCACACAAAGCACGTATGCTTTGTGATGCATGGAAAAGTGACTTACAGTAGCTTTGGGCTCTGCCAGCCTTGACTGGCTTGGCCAATACTTTGACATAACTAGAACAACCAAAGTGCTGCTCCACCTCAGCATGCCAATTTCCAGCAGTCTCCAGGGGCCAGCGTGACAGCTAGGAATGCCTGACTGTAAGGGGACACATAGAAGTAAATATGCCAGCAGGATGTAATTCAAGAATTCCCCTGCTCGAAGCTAAGTTTTCCAGGTTCCACCGTGCTCCGGGCTATTTCCCATGGGTGATTTCATGCAAAGGGCTTTACCAGAGCACAGAACGTGCTCACAATGAGCGCATTGTTAAATGAGCAAAAGCATTTTACTCAATGCCTGTGGCCAATCTAAATATAAAATATCTTCCACTTTCTTTAATAGCTTATGGAAGAAAACAATACAACAGAAAGGAATCTGATAATACACAATATGGCAGGGGGCAGCAATGTTTTTTGACATATTGCACATTGCATGCCAGGCAGTGCAAGAAAGGCATGTCACTCAGTGCATTTGATTGAGGGATGCCATGGTGGCATGCCGTAGCCAAAAAGCCAAATTGTCATATGCCTTCCACTTTGCTGAGATGCCATGCTATGGAAAACATTGTAGGCATGAATGGAAACCCCCATTGACGGCCAGATTTATGCTGGAAGATCTGCCAAAGGAAA